GGAATCAAACCTTACTGATACGCTTCCAAAAAAAGCTCTGCGAGTTTGACGAGTCTGCTTGCTCAGTAAAGTGAATCAGTTCTTTGCATCAGTTTGTTAACAAATGGCATGTATCTAATATTTATATTGTCCACCACTGGTGTAGAAATGAGTCCTAAGCTATTTATGGGGTGTTTAAAAAATTATACGTCATCTTGGTGCACGTAATGGTAAATTGGCAGTATATGCTTTTTGATTTTTACTTTTCAGTAAGGTACTTATAACATTGTCTAATTTTTCTCATGACAGATGTTGACGAAAAACAAAACAATAACACTTTCTATTACTCTAGTGATTGGCTTCAGGTAGACATTCCAGAGGGAAATTTTTACTTGGAACTTTGGCTCTTTCTGCCCAGTTTCCCTTTTGCTGAAAGTAACACTCCGAAAATTTTCCTTAAAAAAGATTCTGTGTCGTGGTATGCAATATTTAACATAAGAAATATCTTTTATTAATTATGATACATTTGGAGATGTTTATAATTATCATGCAAGTATTTTTAATAGAATGCATTTTAACTTATGTGCATTGGATATTAAAGAATAAAGAAAGTAGGTTTATCATTTTTAAATAGCTCAGTTTATTAAGCAGGTAAATTGATAGCTAAATTAAAGATTATATATTTTGCTGAATACCATCAGTCTTAAGAACTGAATGTTTGTGAGGCCACATGAAAGATATAAACATATGTTTGGTGCAGTAGCACAAAATAACATGCCCAAAATTGTGACTAAAAGTTGTCAACAAAACTGTTGACTAAAAATTTTACTAAAAGTGTTTTAAAAGGTTGGATGCTTAGAGCCATAAATTAAACTTTTTTGAAACTTTTCCCATTTGTCAAAATGTTCCTATATTGTGGAAAAGCGTAATTGCACTCAGGGGGGGGGGAAATCATTCGAAATTCTAAGGTATAAAGAAAATAACAAACTTGCATTTAAAAAAGGTACGTAAGATTCACTGCTTATGTGATAACATTTGTTTGCATCGTGAAATAAGAATATCCCCCAAAACTCATCATGGTGCAGTCATATGAGCAAATTCTGTATTTTTCATTATACCACTTTCGAAGAAGCCTCTTGTTTGTATCTATAAATGGCATAGTTTGAGAGTTGAAACAGTAATATATGCAGACAGTATTATGTACTCCCTGTGGTTCTAATGGGTCTTTATAACTTCTGAGAGAACAGCAATAGGCCTAATAGTATCTCAGGAGGATCATACAGTAATGAGAGCTATGCTACTATTTAGAACCACTTTCCATATTCTGTAATCATAGACATGTCAGTGATATTCTAAAATCTCCTTCCTGCTAATGCTGTTGCATTCAGTAAGGGCATGATGCCTGTCCTGGTGAGCACCTGAAAACATCTGCAGTGTCTCAGTCCTCTAATTACAGGTCTTTCCCTAATCAAATGCATGTTAGGGTGTCGGCTACAGACATTTTGCTATACACTTGAATTTGCTCAGTAATATCACAATGGCAGTAAATTTTATTGCACTGCATTTAATGTTTATACTAGTCTGCTCTAGACTAAACATCTATATGCATTACCACAAGACCTAGGTATCCATAATATGAATGTATGATAACTTTTTTGTCCAGTACATAAAGAAAATTATTCTTCAAAGGTATGTGCAGTTATTATTATGCAAATTACCCAATTGTTTATGATTTCAGCCTTTACTATAATTTTCCATTTCTGTTTCCTCATATGATAGAGTTACTGAGCTAGATTGAATTAAAATTAAATTGTATAATCTTTAAGTCCACATTACTAGTTTGAATTTGACTGTTCTTGTTTAATTACGTCACCGTGAGATGTAATTGACTTTGTTTTAGCATCAGACACCTTTATGTTTGTTCTAAGTTCTTTTAAAATAAAGGGCCCACCAGTGGCTGAGTCGCTGAACACTGGTAGTTCGGTTCGAGGTTCGAATCCCACGAGCGGACTGGCTGCATGGGTGTTCGTGGCTTTCCCCATGTATAACGTGCATACGAGCCAGTTTCCCTTAAAGTCCCCCACGAAGGCATCTCTCCCCCCCTAGGCAGATAGCCCTAGTGTGCTTTGCCATAATTAAATACACCAACTTTTTAAATAAGAGGCATATTTAAACCTTTGTCTTATATTGTAGTTACTTGCAGACGTAGTGATAATTTGCTATCGGGGGTTTTGGACTATTTAACTTTTACCAAATCAAGTAAACCCTCATAGGCACATTGTAAAGAGGTTGACAAGTTAGGAGATAAAGCACGCAGAAACTAGCGAGAGCAATTGGTTTGCATATTGAGACAAATCTCTAAGTATTGTCAGAAAAAATGCTTAAACAGAAGGAAATCGATGTAAGCCAAAATGTTTGGGAAGGCTTCAAATTAAAATGCCGGATAAATATTTTGTTGAGTGTTGTTGCTACAAAACATTTATGTTTTGTAACTTTTAATGTGTAATTATTCTAATATTGTTTAAAAATCAATGTCATAAATTACATGCTTTTTAAACTGTGAAATTTTATTAGATTTTGATTTTAATAGGGCTTTTTTTAACAAATATTGTTAAAATGTAAAATTTAATAGTGGCCATGTAACTCCATAATGACTGAAGTTATCTAACTACCTAATTTAATTATTTATAACTAACTGCCTTACCCTTCAAAATTATCTCTACATATTAAAGCAAGTTATTGCCTTTCATTAATACTCACTGTGGTCACAAGATAAAACATAAAAAGGTAGAAATTCAAGTAAAACTTATTCTTTGTATCTAGTGAGACTTAAAATAATAGAAAACAACTTACCACCTCTGGTGTTTTAATGCCTTATTGGAGCCTGAAAGTATATTAACTGGGTTACAACCCCTGGAACTCTACACAAAGCTATGACACTAACTGCATCAAACAGACCCTGAGCAACTTTCAACACTTGCCAACTGTGCGTACACCAAGCCTTTCAGGTTTGTTCTAATCAGCAAGTCTCTCTCTGTACAAGCAGCAGCAGTGATAACATTCAGTCTTTTGTTATGAATCATGCTGATTATGATCTTACTTCTCATTTTAACCTATGCTGTTTGACATGAAATCTACATGCTATTTACTAAACCTCTAGACCAGCGGTTCTCAACCTTTTGACTAACATGTACCATCTAGACAAAAATTGAAAACCTTTAGTACCACCACTACAAAGTACTACTACCACCACCACCACCACTCTCAAAAAAAGCTCAGATCACATAAATTAATGATTGTTAGAGAAAAAACTCAATCAGGATGTTGAGGTTTTAATTTTTCAAATAAATAGTTAAAAAATACTTTGCTTCTTTGTGTACCACTGGTTGAGAACCTCTGCTCGAGACTGACCAAGTATGTGACAAAATGAGACATAAAAAAAAAAAAAAAAAAATCAACATAAAGCTAACTTTTAGTAAAACGTAAATATATCACTTGTCTTCTTTCAAATATGTCCAACCTATAAGTGTAAAATATTTAATGCTACTTGATAAACTGCATGAAGTTTATTTTATTCTCAAACTTATTAATAATTATGTTAATTCATTTTTAATAATAATGCATACTACTTAGGGATCTATTTTATTTTTAAGATGGTATTACAAAAGTGAAATCCAGGCATAGAGTAATATTTTTAATTAAATTTATTCAGTTCCCATTTGCTCATATTTCCTTAATTTTTTTCATTAATGATTCTTAAAAGTACTTAATTTCTGTGTGCAGAAATGTGTACAAACCCTGGTACACCTTGCAGAACAATTTGGCTAATGTGAGCAGTGTGTGGTCGGGCATTATCCTGCTGATAAGGCATTATCCTCCTTCCTGGAGGTAGGAGAGTGTCACTGGCCGCAGCACATCATGCACGTATCTTTAGGCTGTTATAGTGCCCTAATACAAACTAGAGGTGACCTAGAATCTTATGCAGTTGCGTCCCAACCCATGATGCTCATTGTCGCGTGATGGGGTGTTTCACAGTTGCTGCTGGATTGGACCTGTCTCTCTACATTGACACCACTCTCATACGCCATGACTATCATCAGAGAAACAGAAGCATGACTCATCAGAGGACACAATCCTGTGCCATTCTGTTGTCACTTGAGCTTGGCACCATTGCAGACGCCGTCTATGATGTGGGGTTGATGGCAGTTTTCTGAATGGACACCACAAGTGCAGGCTACTAGCCAACAATTGTTGGCAAATGGTTCTAGTTGATATGGAAACATCCAGGGTGTCAGAACATGCTGCAGATTGGAGGTAGAAGTGTCTTGTGGGTGCTCCACTGCTTGTTGGCTGATGCGTCAGTACGCATGTGCTGACGTCAATCTGACTGCATTGGCAGCCCGCAAACTTGCTACCTTTCCTTGTTCCAAGCATCATCCCCACAGGCAGTGTACTCTAGACGCGTCCAGGTGTGTGTCTGCTGATATTTGCTATATGGACAAACCTGCCCTTCTCAGTCCGATCACCATGTCTCCTGTAAAATCATCTATCTCCTGGACTGCCTCCATTGACGACAGCCTGGCATTTTCTGCTATTGCACGTGTCCTTTGAGACACAAACAAATTTTCTGTGGTGATTTCCATAGCAGAAATAATAGCACAAAAAAAAATCGAACATTCTGCAGGTTTCTTCCTTTATATTTTCTTCAACTTGGGCTGGAGGCTGCACATTTCACATCATTCGCATAACTCAGTGACTTGTCTCTGCCCTGAAATTTGCATAATTTTTGGGCCACTCGGTGTTGCATTTTCAATGTTGGGTAGTGTATTAAAAGTGACTGAATATATCCACTTGTGCAAATAGCATGCTTTTGAAACAGTATAATTAATTTCATTTTAATAACATGCATTGAGCCTTTTTTTCACTTTAAATCAATTCCAAACAATATTTGAACTTAGCTGATTAATACTGTACAAATTGACATGTACCTCTTACCTCTGTTTTTCTTATTCTATATATAGGGATGCTACAACTGATTTAGCATTACATTTCTTTGCAAAAATGAAAATTATGGTAATTAGGGACATTGAAAGAGAAGATGTTGAATTCATCTGCAAGGTGAGATTTGTTATGTGTTCAAAGCATTAGTTTGTTAATTTTAAAGTTTCTTATATTGATTGAAAAACTGTATGAAAGCATGCACACAGTTTTCCAAGTGTGAATATGCTTTCGTATTCAGAATTAAGTGTTCGCCCCCTCAATATTTGTAGCAAATTTCTGTAATGCTGAAATAAATATAGTTGACAATAATATAGTTATTATTCATTACACATACCGTTTATCATAGTAACCGAGTAAAGTAAGTTTATTCACTTTAAGGGATCTCTGTGTATTTCCTTTCATTTGCAGATTTGTAGTTAAGCTCTGATATTTTGCATGTGCTTCTGAGACAAAAGTGCTGTTAATGATAGGATTAAATCTATAGAAACAAGTATTGCACAGCTTGAATTATCTTTTTATATTTGCATTTAAATTAAGGTCCAGACAATTTTAAAGTTTTCTATGCTTGAAAAGTCAATACAAATTATATCTATACACTGTGTCCAGAAACATCTTAGTCCTTACTGTGGCTTCATTTTGTCAATTGTTTGATATATATTTTGAGAAGTGCTTTAACCCATTAACCGCCAAAACTCCAAGGAATGTTTCTTTTCTCATGAAAATAATAACAAATATTAAATTAAGCATTTATAACATAAATTTACATTGAAAATAAAAAAAAAATGCTCTTACCTGTGGAAAATGCAAGTGTTGCGTTCACGCAACGTCAGCGGAATAAGACTACGGATGTTGAGTGAGTAGGATTGTACTCGTGTGATGTTTCTTTTGAGTGGCGCGCAGGATTACGTTTTATAAATCTACAAATCACTTTACTTGTAATTAATTTAATATTAAAATATACATTGTATTTCTTTTACAAGTACAGATTATTTCAATTGAAAAATTCAAGCATGAAAAGCTTGATTACAATCATGATGTAAAGCTACATTACATACTTTGCATCTATAAACGGTCTGGCTATGGTACTCTTAACAACAGTCTTTTGTTATCAACAGACTTTACGATAAAATGTCTGTTATCTCCGTGCAATGGTTTTTGAATTCTGAATTTACTAGGTCTTCCTGTTGCTGATCTATTTCTGGCTAATTCTACACTCTCAATAGCAGTTTGCAAAAGGAATAATGCGTTCTCGCGTCTGAAATCTAAAAGAGACTTTATATTTCCAGTAGTAAAAAGTAGTGATATTTAGTAAGTTTAGATACAGTCTCACCTCATATAATTTATCAGTATTGTCAAATGCAAATTCTGCTTCATATTCCTGTACTGCAAACGTGATATAGATTCTCGTACAACAGGAGCAGAAATGTCCTTATCAAAAGACCAATACATACAGGGTTGCCACGCTACCTGGAAAACCAGAAAAAGTCAGGGAATTCGGAAATTGACCAAAAAATTCAGGGAATTTAAGTGTTTTAGTCAAATCTGGAAAAGTCTGGGAATTTCATACAACGATCCCGCCAAAAAAGGCGAGTTTTGCGCCGACGTCGGAAGAGATCACTTTTTTGGCGAAATGTGTATCATGTGTGTCATTCGGGCAGCTGGCATAGAGCCAATTTTCGCAGCTCCAATTTGATTGTCTTTTAGAAAGGCAAAGCAAGTTTTCCCGCAACTTTTGGTTTCCAGTAACCTCGAGAATCACGTGTGCAGTGCATGAACTAAAGAAAGTACCTGTTCTCGTATAAAACATAATGGGTTTAATCTTAGTATATGGTACCATGAAGGTTAGAATCAAAGAATATGTATTATAAAGAAGGAAAACTTCTCTCGCAACAAGAGGTGGCTCTGTTCCATCATAGGGGGAAACAGCTGTGCATGCGCGATATATCTGTCCGCCAAAGTCGAAACCGGTGTTGAAGTTCGAAGGTCACGTTATCAAGAGTTCATAAAATGAATATAGTTTAAAATTTCTTTAAACTCTAAAGGAAATATTTTTTGGCGCAAGTAAATTAATTCATGGATTAATTATTTTGAGGGGGGGAAAAAACTACGAAAATCCGTTTTTAAAATTATTGCGAATGATCCAAGAAAAAACTTTCTTTGATAAAACGTTTCTTCTTGGATTTTTCGCAATAATTTAAAAACGGATTTTCGTAGTTTTCTTTTTTGTCAAAGAACATTTCTTGACATGATCATGAGCAGTAAACGGGTCATTTTGTTCTTGGCGACAATTTTCAAAATCGTGCGAAGGCCGTACCATGTAGTAGGATTTTACCGCAAAATCTTTTTAAACCTTTTTTTTTTTTCCTTTTTTTTTTAATAAAATACCTTGTCATTTTTGCAGTAAAATAAAAAAATAGTAATCAGTCATCTAGGCTAACCATGTAATATAACTATATTTGCTAAAATATCGTTGATTATTCTAATTCAATTTTTAAGTAATTATCTTTATTTTTATGTTATTCATTTCATTTAATGTTGCTTCTTCCCTCTAAATTTATTTATCATTAGTAAATAATATTTCCAATTTCAGGAAATTTTCTCTGGCATAATCCTGAAATTAATTCTAGTAGTATGATGACATACCATCACGAAATTTAATGCACATATTTTTTCCTTATGTATACTGCGAAATAAAATAAAATACCTCAATTTTATTAAAAAAAATATCATTAAATAGATTTCTTTCTTTCGTTTAGCTGCAGAATGTCTGCAAAAAAGACTTATTTTATTCCAGATTGGCAGATTCTAATCTCAATCTCAGTGGAGAAACAACTCCTATTATAATTATATTTGTGTTTTCAAGTGTTAAGGTGCCTTTTAAGAAGACACCTCATACAAATTAAATTTACCTAAAATCTAACCTAACTATTTAGCATTGCGTTGTGATTTATAAGAACCAAATTAGCCTCGTGTTGAACTGGTGATGATCACGAGTAATAATTAAATAAAACGTACAATTGTTATCTAATGTATATATCTTAAATTTTATTAAGTTTCATAAGTGGAAAAGTAAACAAAGTGTACCCAGAATAATTAATAATAAATGTCCTCTGGGATTTATTGAATAATTAAGTGAATTTGCTACACAATACAAGTAATACTATATTTAATATACCTCTTAGCACAGCCAATGTACATCACTCGGATAGACTGGAATTTTCTCGAAATATACCTGGAAAACGTGGAAAAGTCAGGGAATTTTATTCTCGTGTTTGAGTGGCAACCCTGTACGTATTTTCTTGAGGTAAGGAGTAATATCCTGTAAGCAATAATATTCCAATAAATCTTCTCATATAGGCTTCAAATGCAATAAATTCTGGGCTTTTTTTTTTTTCTGAGCGTATATATTTGTCTGTTCAACGAGAAGAGAGTAAATGTCTAAACCAAAAGGAAAATCTGTGCACTAGTTTTACCTTGTATTTTGTCTTTTGTAATTTCTCTTCTATCTCTTCTCCATGTTTTTCCTGAGACATAACTAACAATTCCTTTTTTATCCACTTCAAGATTTCAATCTTCTGCTTTTTAAACTTTTTAGTATGACTATAACTGCTGTTAGAAGGCTGAAATTTACTTCTTACGTGAATTTCAACTTCTCCAGCAGTATCATTTAGTAAAATATTATTATCATTATTTAAAACACTCCCATTCCTGTCTTCTTCGTCACTAGTTTCTACAGTTTCTGGGGGAACAACAACAATATCAGTTTCATTCTGGTCATTATTAACATTATCATCAACTGTTTCTTCATCAGAAATTCTTTGAAGGGCTTCTTCTAATGCAAGATATCTCGTTCTAAGCATTTTTAAACAACTGGAACATGAATCAGAACATCGAAAGGAATAAGCGAAGAAGGAGATTGACTACCCGTTTCCTGCTGATGTCGCGTCAGCGCAACACCTGTTTTCCCTTGCTTCCCAACACAAATATAAACATTTGACTGATATAATGTTCTGATAAACGGTGACCTTGACTAAAAATAAATCACTCATAAAGATGGCGATTCTTTCGTTAAATATTTTCAGCAAAAATACTCGGTCGAAAATTTTGCTTAAAGTATGAGATTAAGTATTATAAACAAAATGATTGTTGAAGGCAAATATTTTTTTACAGAAATAATCTTCATAATATTCCCTATACAAAATCATCTGCTGGTATAGAATATCTTAGGTAGTTATATTTATATACGCATTTATTTTTGACCGTTGCGTCAACGCAACACCAGCGGCTAATGGGTTAAATGATTCAAATATTCATATTTTATCATTCATATATTTTATCATTACGATTCACAGTGAATTTAAAAGAAGAGTTGAGTGAATCGTCTTCTTTTTTACCTCGATGCAAATTAGATTGAAAAAAACTTTTATCATGATGTCAATAATTTGGTATTTCCGTTATGACTCATTATTATTCGGTAGTTATGACGTCATTATTTGGTAAGTATTTTTTCTTTGATATTTTGTACTCATTGTTGTGGTTTCTGGAACCTATAAACTGAATGTTTGTGTTTTGAGAGGCAACACGGATTTCAGGTCGGTTGATTTTCGGTATTTGACTGTATTTGAATCTTTAAAAACACTTTTGTAATTGGAAGCATGTCTACGACCAGCGACTACGAAAATAAAGGCCAGTTAAAGACTTTTGTGGATATATGGTGTATATATGGCTCATAGAAAATTAAACTATTGTTGCAATTTGCAGCTATTTTTATTGAATATTATGTGGTATCATTTTAGCTTTTTTACTCCCCCCCACTCTCCCCACATTTTGAAACAAATCAAAATCAAAAAAAAAAAAAAAAAGATTTTGATGTACTTTTGTAAATGAAAGTTTGCTTTGAATCTATATTGTACAAAATTGAAATTTTAGAAACTTTAATAGGCTGTTGAAAGTAACCAAGTTACAAAATAGGAAGCTATGAATCTCAGTAAGCTAAATCAATGTTCTGAATAGCTATCTCAGAATTGTTTCAGAATACAAATAATTATTCACTGTACTCATTTCAGACTTTGAACTGTAGGCCAATTGCTAGTTTAGATCATTTTGTTCCTGAAGCTCTTGGCTCAGCAGAACTAGTTGAAGAATTTCAGGCTGGAGGTGTCAAATATGTGAAGGTGAGTGTATTTGAAGGTTTCTAACTTTTTCGTAAGATAGTTATTTAGTGTTCTTTAACTTTTTTGGCTCGTTTCTTTTAAGTGCCATAAATTATTTAAACAATTTGTAATGTAATTCTTTATTCAGAATTTATTAAGTTTAAATGCTGAAAAACTCAACCATTTCTACTTAAATTCAAAATTACATTTTAGAAACATTTAAAATTTTTATTTCAATTTTTCCTCATAAACTCTTAGTTCTATTCTTTCCTTTCTGTTTTTGTATATTAGCATCGATTCAGAATGATTATGAAAAGAATATTAATTTCTCTGTACCTATCCTTATCCTAAATGGAAGAAAATAACAAATACTTCAATAAAATAAAGATGATGAAATAATTATTAAATATGGCAAAATTATTTGTGTATAACAATGCTTTGTAATATTTTTATATAACAAAGCTGAAACAATTTTTAAAATAAACTGAAGTGATATCAATGCTTTAAAGTTCTTTGTTAAAAACTTAAATAATAAAAAAAGCTCATGCGTCTACTTCATGCATATCATTCATTTGTTTCTAGGATATTGTCTTTAAAAGAGCAAAACTAAATAGTATGCTTATGTTCTGTGGTTGTCAGTAATTTCATTTTCATATTAAGTGTATAAAGTCATCATTTTGATACAATTTTTTTTTTTTTTTTTTTTGTTGTAAATCTGAATGAAATGATTATATTGTTGGTTAGTTGATCATTGGTGATATTTGTAAATTGCAAGGTATTTTCAGACTTAAGTAAATATGAAGACAATGTAAAAGGTTTGTTTTTAAGATATTTTTTCTTCATTTCAAAATTTCTCTTTAGGAAGATTTTAGCACTGCACTACTTTATCAAAATTAGTGCCAGTTTTAAGTTCTTTCTCAACAAATGTAACTAATTTAGCACATTTTGAGACTACCTTTGTTTCCTTAACTCCTTCGCGCCGGGTAGCGCAAACGCGCTCTTATCGCGAAGGCCGGCAGTGTCTTACATGAGCGTCTGTCCAGGGCCGGGGGCTTTTTTGCTATTAAAATTGCTTACTATTTGCTTACTATTTTTTCCATTAAATTTCCGAAGTATCAACACATTGTTTAATAATGCTCTATAGAGCATTTAAACGGCTTATGCTTTATAGATATTTTTATATATACTTTAATTACCTTATTTCTTGTTTAAATGCATATTTTACACAGTTTATTTTCATTACTCACCATTTTATGACTTTTAACATTATACATCTGAAAACTAAATATATTACTTAAAATTCTCTTTTCGTATGAAAAATTTGAAAACAGGTATCTACACACAGTCCTGCGTTACATTCCTTGCACTTGTAATAACTCATTTGCCATTTTTGAGGATTTTTCCGAGAATGTGAACAAACGAAGCATCGTCGTCTCATTTTCTTATCAGTCTCTTCTATATCTTATCTCTATTTTGGAAAATGTCTTTCAGTTAATCTGAGTGGATTTAATGATTGTGGGTTTCTTTATAATACTCATCAAAATTGTTAAAGCAAAGAAAACAAACATTACTTCCACTGTAACAGGTAAATACTTCGAAGAAGTAGCTCCAGATTCATCCTCAGGATATTTACTCCTCTGATACAGATTAGTCTCTTCAGTAATTAATTTCATTATTGTATCATCAAAATAATACCTAAAGAAATCAATTTCTTCTTCAACCGAATTATCCACTTTAATTCCAGGTACAGCTTTAAATGTTAATTCCGATAAATTTTCTATTGTGGATGACCATGGAGAAGTACTTGCTTTCGACGTACTCGGCATACAGATGTCCGAAATGTCCTCATCATCATTAGATTTGCCATATTCTTTATGATCAGAATATATCATAGTATCACTATCACTACTATCAGAATCTATTTCAGAATCAATATCTGAAATATTTTGCATCATTTCTGCTATTTCATATGTCTGTTAAACATTTTCGATGCTGCAATGGTAAAAACAGAAAGAATTCACGTCTAACAAGATCTAATTATTTTCTAAAAACTGATCTGCAAACCGAAACACCCAACGCTTTAGCAAAAATAAAACTTCTCTACTTGCAATAAACAACTACCACGTGCGAATTTAAAGAGACGTCATAAATCACGCCATTCGGAAACATTTATTTCCCCTTTTGTTTATATAATCAAAAACACGTGTATGTGAGTCATGCTTCTCTCATTTCGAGTAGAAGGTCTAATGTACATGTGTCTGAAACCATATGGACATACAGTGCCATCTTGTGGCAGAAATTATAGTTTTTAAAACGTTCCAGCACACTGGCACAAATACGTAACAGTCGGGGTTGAATGGAAAACGCTCTGGCCTGCCTGCGTGTCGGCCGGGAAGTGAGTGTGTTCGTTGCTGGCATGTAGACGTGACAGTCGGCGCGAAGGGGTTAATATGCTGAGGAACTTGCTTTTTAATTTTGGTAAATTCATGCATATGCCATATTCCTTATTAATTTCACTTTTTAACTCAAGAATTTAGAATACAGTTTTCTGATCCCTCTTTTATTTTGGAACTGCAAATTTACTGTGGCTCTTTAATCTCAGGAGAGTTTTATAGTTTTTTTTTTTTTTTTTTTAATAACATTTTTTATCAAGCTAAGTTTCAAAGTTTTCAGAGTAATTCATTGTTTATTTGAGTTCAAGAGAAATATCTGCTATATTAACTAGAATTTAAGACCCCCCTATGAAATGTTCTGAAAATTACACTTTCTTCCTGTCTACTGCATAGCATATGGAAGGTAATATATTATTGCCTTTACTTTTAGATAAGAAAAATATTTTTTAGCCAATTTTCTTCAAAGTATAATATTTAGGTTTCTTAATTACCATTTATACAGAATACTGTCTATCAAGCTGATGAATATAAGGCAATCTATTTTGCAAACCCATTAATTTTCTTAACACATCAAAAAAGAAAGAGGTTTGTGTGTTTAGATATTAGGATTTTGCATATTCAGATCTATTTTTATTAATTTGTCCAATACACACTTTAAGCCTGAGAATTCATGTGTTACATTATGCCTGTTGTGCTGTGAATTGTCATTTAAGTAAAAGCTTTAAATAATGATCTGTTTTCTCATTTATGCCTTTTGTTGAAAAACTATTAAATGCTGAAATACAATATTGTAGGTGCTCGTAATATATATACATATATATATATATATAATAATTTATTTCCTAAACAGTATTGATTAATTGATTATATTATCTCCTAAGTTTAATTAAAGTAGAATTATTTTAAAAGTGTGCATCCATACTGGTAAGTTTATATTTGAAAGATGTTTTGAAGTAATTTGAAAGCAAAATGTTAATAATGTTTTAACGGGGACTGGAGTTAAATCATCACGAAGAATAATATTACAATTGTAAAAGTAAAAATTAAAACATGTAATTATTGTCATTGATCGGAAATTAGTTGACTTTTTCAAGGGGAACAAACCAACTCCCGTTCAATGAATCAATAATTGATAAAAATACGTAAATATGAAAGTGTTTCGTCTTTACTCGAGTTATAAGTTAAAGCCAAGCCGGCAATTCTAGTCAGGCCAAATATTTCCGTGAATAGTTGTTACTCAAAGAACTTATTCTCATGAAGCATTTTAGTCAATTCAATTTGGAGTAAAAATCAATTACTGTAGAGAAATCCTGTAAAACTCGAGTAATCGTCCCCGACACTATCATCTTTATGTATTTGAGTACTATATTATGTATTTTCTTTTGTAGGTTACCGGTGTTGCTAATCCTGGAAAGACAGTGACCTTGTTTTTAAGGGGATCAAATAATTTAGTTCTGGAAGAAGCTGATCGTTCTCTTCATGATGCATTATGTGTAATTCGATGCTTAGTAAAAAAGAGGTAATGCTGTATGCTACAAAAGTATTTTATATGTAAATGTAGTTATCTTCATCAGTTTGGATAATTCTATCTTTTTATTAAATTGTCTGATATAGATATAAAAGTATAAATTGCATTTTTAAGAGTTTCATATCATAAGATTATCACAGTTCATTGCAATATTATTCCTTTGTTCAAGCTCACTGTCAGAGAGGTGACTTTTCCATTTCACTTATTTGGTCAGAAAGGTAAAATAATCTGACTCTGTGAAGATTTTAGATTTTATTGCTACATGAAAAATGTGAAATATATATTGAGTCTTAAAGGCTTAAATCTGATGTTAAAATGTTATAAAAGCATTGAATACTGTATTGGTTGTTATAATATAGTATCTTTTGGGATCTTCCATGAAACTGCATGCGTTTGTGTTTAATAATTCATGTGTTCTTTGCCATACCATTTTAAATGGTGTTTGATACCTTAAAGGGATGAATTGCTGTGTATTTGAAAAATTGAGAAGGAAATGAAATAAACAGTAATAAATTATCCATGTGTGAATATGACTCTGTGCTATGATTCATAATATTTGCTATAGTTACAAGGATATATGCAGCCTGGCTTTCACCAAGACTGCATCCTTGACATTCACCTACAGTGGGCATTTCTTGTGTGTTAGTTATGATGTAATTAACTCCATGCATAGGGAATCAATAAAGTGTTTGTTTGGAGAATGGAAAAGTAAGTGTTCTCACTGTATTTCCAGTGCAACAGTTCCAAGTTAATGCTGCCACATTGCCAGAAACATATGCTAACACATTGTATTACATTAAGCATTGCTAGGCGAACAAAAAAGTGTAATAAAGCAAACCAACCACAATAATTATTTAATTAATCTCTGGATATTTGGAGGTTAAAAGTAACACTTCTTTTTAATGATTAATCTTTCATATGAGAAAATAACTCGAAATTCATAAAAATATTGAATTAATATATAATGTAAAATTGCACTTTTAACATAAACCAAGGTTTTGCATAAAAGTTCATAGTTTATTTGTCTCTTATGGCTTTGTTAAAATGTGTGCAGTCATTTCTTCAGAATGGTATTTAGTAACCATATGTTTAGTTCTGTCACTGCCTTCTGTCCCTATTTAACATATTAATTATTGTAAGAAAAAGTGCAAACAATTTTCATTTTCTTGCAAAAGACTTGTAAACCAAATCTGTTTTGCAAACAAGAAGAACAAAGAAACCAAAGTAACCTCTATTCATTGATTTTAATCCAAAATGCTGATTGTAAATTACTATACACTTAAATATGAATAATTATATGAAAGTCCTAATGTTATCACAGGGCCCATAATTAACTTCATGCATTGTAAATTAATGAAGCATTTATTAGAGGAATTGAAAAATGGAAGCATTCATAGTACAGCAGTCAACATTTCGACTACAACAGCTCCGAGCTAAAGCTTGTTTACTACAAAAACATAAATAAGAGATTAATAAAGCATTTATTAGAAGAATAGAAAAATGGAAGCATTCACATTACAGCGATCAATATTTCAACTATTATTACATATTAACACATTATATTACATAACAATGATGAGCTAACTAATCATATTAAGGATTGCATCTTGGGATATTTGGAGGATAAAAAATAACAACAGGTTTGTAATATGTATATCAGAATTGATTGATGCTGTTTAGAAATAGCTCGTACGATTCAACATATAAATTAAGCTGCAATCCAGTAAGTTTCATGGGATTTTAATGCATTCAGACTATCTCAGAAATATTTTTTGGTTGCCTGCATACATAAATCCCACAAAATTTAGAACAAGGTAGCTTATCTATTTTTTCCTGTTACTAATGCTGTGTTTATTACTAATATATAACTGTTAACTCTTCCAACAGATTGCTAAATATCCCTGTTCTTAAGTTCTAGCCTTAACTTAAGGAAAGCATTTTTCATCAGTAAATGAAATTTATAGAATTAATAAACTTAAAAATGGGCAAATTTCGTTCTTCCATGTCTAGTGATCTTCAGCATAATTTTTATATTAAATTTTATTTAATCTGAATTGTCTTCATCTGTTGTAGACATTTGTAGAATGTCTACAGTAGATGACATTTCAGTTCAAATAAAATGATTCTGTTTTACACGAATATAGGTAAATTATTAAGTTGATCCACACAGTAGTATGTTATAGTGGTACTTAATGTGTTACTGCAACCACCTTAAGTTGCAGTTACCAAATTTCCAGAATTTGCCAAACTGTAGTTCAAGCATGGAGGTAGGAAGAAAGAAGATGGAGTGGCCCTAACCAGTTTCCTCCATACCCTGCTCTGAAGCACTGGCGATCCTTATGTGGTGACCAAAACATTGGGTAATTTACCATTAAGTTCAATAGCTTTTGACATGATCGGATGCGATTATTTTGTAATTACTTCGTAAATATACATATAAATGTATATATTTTCTTTTTCTACAGTACTTCAGAGTCCTACGTGTATGAAAAGAATACATTTTTAAACAACATTTCATTCTGAACGGAATTAAATGCTATACTTTTCACAGAACAGTTTGCTCAGAATGGTTTAATTTGAATGAAATATTTTCACAAGTTTTCCTTAATTACATTAGAGAAAAAATTAGGCGATTCGATTTTATTTGGTTAAGGATTACCAAAATTAAGATCAAAGTTTATTGTGTTATTAAATATTAAAATTATGCATTATTTTTTTATTTATGGAGCTTCTTCCTAAAATACTTTCTTTATTTTAGCTTCTGAGGCATCTTTTAAATGGAAAACTATAAGTCAATTTATAATTAATGCTCTCTTCGGTCCATTTCAAATTAGAGCACCTTTTATTTTAATAGCGAATACTTTAAATACAATATTTCTGAAAGGGAATAAAATAAGGATTTTTGAAAAAATATTATTTAAAACTTGTGTCTGAGCTATAAAATGTAATCATTATAAATTTAGATACATTTAATAATTAGATTTCTTCACAGTAACTTTCACTTGTTTATGAATGAATAAATCCTTCATTTCATGCACATTTATAAATAATTTAATAAATATTTACGTATTTTGTTAAAGGCAAATACATGCTTTTTGCAAGTACATGCATAAAATACCCATACATATTTCATATTTTTCATTTCAGGCATGTGCAAATCTTTAACTTTGTGCATTCACTATATTTTTCAAGTAAAGTAATTTATACTAATTTAACATATATCCGAAAGTTTTACATAAGAAATGTGTATAAATATAATTTGAATGAAAATTATATGCATTATTTTTAATAGCCACTCAAAGGTAAGTGTTTCTTCAAAATTCCTCTGCGATGGCATCTTTCCCTTTAGGCAGATAGCCCTTGCATGCCTTACTCTATTTAATAAAAACTTAACCTGACCTATGTGCCTAATTACAAATATTTTAACATGCATAATTTTATATTTACATTTAACCATCAAGTTTCTTACTTTCTTCTGACTTAAAACACGTTTTAGAATACATTCATCATTAAATTCAAACCTTCTAGTAAATATATTTTGGCAGAGCACTCAATACCTCTTTTATCGATTTTACACAGTTTAATAATTCTCTGATAATATAATAAATAATAATAACTAAGTAAAACATGTAAGCCCAAAGTGATTATTTTTCAGATATATAAAAATAAAATGATGAGTTTAAAATGAGCAACACTAAAGCCTGTCCTCTAAAAAATTTTAAAAATTATATGTTACAATAATATGTAGATGTGAAAAAAAATATTTCATTTCAAACATTTTGACGTTTGGAACGTAAAAGTAGTGAATACTCTATCAAGGGTATCGAAAGATGTATACAATTTTATAGGTATTGTAAAGTATTTTTCATTCTTTAAGCATAACATTTTTGCTAAAATCTATATTTTTGTAGTTCAACAGCTTAGAATTTTATAAAACAAATTCATAATCAAAATCGCTGTTGTTAGTTATAAAAAAATAACCAAGATGTGATTTTTGCATAAATGTCACGAAACTATACAAGCTATTATCCAGCACACTATGAATGTTTCTTTCATGCGAAAGTATGCCCTTTTTTTTTTATTTGTATGGAACTGTCATGTGTCGAAATACTGTCGGAGCACTGTCAAGTGAGCTTCTGAATGTAAACAAAAAACACCCCATCTGGTGATTAAAGCTTCTAAACAGTGCTTCACTTCTAGTACCTGTTTGGCCTTTCCTTCCTTTCTTACCTCCATGAGTTCAAGCAATGGTGTCATTTTCATATACACACATTCTTTTTGCTCTATTCAAAGTTCCAGTGGTTTTGATAGACAATACATGAAACTTTTTGCCATGAATTTAATTTTAAAATATAGCTTGTGGAATTTAAAAAGAAGAAAGTGTGGTAGAAGTTCAGCAGTAATACAACATTTTGCCACAAAATTATAAAGGGAACATTGATGAGATGAGTTTGGTCGATAGCTAGTGCGTAGTGCCAAGTTTGTGCAATTTTGTGTGCTTTTTAAGTGAAAACAGATTACTGTGTATATAAGAAAAACAGAAAAAAAGTTAGAGAAGGAATTTGCAAAAAAGTGTATTTTATTTTTAATGTGTCATATGTAATCTTATTTAATAATTACAATATATATTTTAAAATGTTTTTTCTTTTGATATATTGACAATGTTTGCTTACTTATAATCGATTGTTTGGGAAGTCAAAACAAGAATCAAAAACTCCAACCTGAACATAATATGAAAATGTTTACCATTTCACATATAAAAGACCACCATATTATGATTTATTTCTTAAGATGAAATATCTAGTGGCTAAGTGAAAAAACTGCTAACTGTAGATTTGAATCAGTTTGGATTTGAATTCTGGCAAGTTTCTCTCAACAAGTCCTCCACAAATTTTGCACAAAGGCATCCTTTTCCTTAAGCAGGTTGCCCTTATGCGTCTTGCTGTAGTTGTTAAGATAAGCAATAAATTATAATGGCCAGGCTTTGAAGAGTTGTATGAACATGCAGTCTTTCTGAAATATTCTGTGTAACATTTTTTCAGTTTTATTTATCAGAAATCTCCCCAAATGACTAATTTAATATAATTTAATATCAAAAACAACTTTCATCATATAGGTACTAATTTTGAGTTATTAAAATATCATCAGTTATGATTTAAGTAATATATTTTAATGAATGAAAACAGACTTTATGGACTGAAAAATGCATGTTTTCTTTCACTTAAATTATTTGCAACTTTATCTTCTATTTCACAGTTCAATAAACTGAAGATTAATCTAGATTTTATGTGCATACACTCACAGTATATTAGTGCAGCCATATATTTATTACATTTCTAGACGAGGGAGATAAAATTTCTGTTATTTATTTGCATGTTTTTATATTTCCTGTTTTTCAATAAAGTTCTCTGAGCTTTAATGTTTGTTTTCATATATTTATTCAATAGAGCTCTAATTGCTGGTGGTGGTGCACCTGAAATTGAACTTTCACTTCGTTTGGCTGAGTATTCACGGACTTTACTGGGGACAGAGGCATACTGCGTTAGAGCTTATGCAGACGCATTTGAAATTATACCCTATACACTGGCTGAAAATGCTGGGCTGAATGCCATTGCTACTGTTACCGAGTTGCGCACAAAGCATGCAAGAGGAGAAAAGAATGCTGGCATCAATGTTCGAAAAGTGAGATTCTTTTCTTCATTTTTTTTAATAGCTCTGAGCAAAAGAAATTTTGTAATTTGATTTAAAGATTCTTCTTAAAGAATGTAACTGTGTGTTTTATCAAAGCAGTTTTTGTGCAATCAGCGTGTTTGATTAGGGAATACTGTTATTGAAGAGAATTAAGTATGTATTTTGAGATGTATTTCCAGAAATTGTGTTGGTAACATTTTATTCACAAAATGGTGCACTGTAAATTGTACATACTCAATAATTTATTCAAATTTTTAGGAATCAAATGTCATTTTTAGTCTAAACGGGCAATTTGCCAAGAAGGACTATTAATTTCGTTTTGGCATTTTGCACTGAAATGTCGGTTTACTTTCAAATTGTTGCCTCCAAATAATAGAGCCCTGTATTAGATTTAAAGAAATTAAATAATGAAGGCTCTGTACAAATGTATGTATGTTTCTGACGTTGTGATAAAACAACAGTACCTAGAGCCATCAAATTATGAATAGCGTAAGTTTCCACCCGAATATGGGCATCCGGAAGCCCAAATTTGGAATTTGTTTTATTATCTATTTCATATTTTGTAAAACTTTTAACGAAGTTGTGATTAACAAACTCAACGATTTAAAAGCAAGCAATGGCAACTCAGTATGGGAAAAAAAAAAAAAAAAAATTATCTCTAGCGCATGAGACTGTATCGGAATTCTAAAGATATGCCCATTCTAAAATTATTTTGTGATATTGCTGTCGAACTGAATTTTATGGTTTAAGTGCAAAGAACAGGATATTTAATAAATAAAGATAGCACAAAAAATGTTTTAAAAAAAAACCCTTTGAGTGTGATGTAAACTGAACTGAAACTGATGTATCTGAAAACTTTCAGATTTATATATATATTCCCTTTTAAAAATTCTAAAGTATTTTTAATGTGTAAGAGTTAAAAAAGAATGAAAATCCTTACAGAATGCGAAATGTAATCTACATTTTCCTCTCCTTCTTTAATATAAAAAGTATATTACTGGCATTCAGTGACCATCATATTTTACCAATTTCTGGAGCTGATATGTGCTTTATCACTAGGAAAATTTTAATTGCTGAACAGTTTTTTTCTATTGCCATTGCAACCAAAACTGTTTGACTGATTTGACGAATGTTATGGTAATGTTTGCAGTAGTGTTAGATCATCTTTTGTGAATTCTAACTGGATGATGTTAGCAAAGTTCCCAAGGTTTGTAGCTTTATAATGTTATAATTTTCCATGTTTTTTCCAGATGTATCAAGAACTCTTCTGTACCAAATTATCAAAAATTATTAACAATTAAGATGAATTGTAGGATCTGTGCCGTCTTTGGATTCCATAAATACTCTTTAAAGAGTAAAATGGTGAGTGAAACTCGCATCAGGGAAGCAAAGAATTTACAAATGTGAAATATGACTATTGTGGGCATCTCTGGAATTAAAATGTTAATCCATTTAATGGAAGTAACTGTGGATTCCCAAAATTGGATGTCAAGCAACTGATTTCAATCCGATTTACAAACAGATTGAAATTTTAACATAGAGTAATAAATACTGAAATCTGCTGTCAAGCTTTAAAAAAAAAAATTACATCAAGCAATTGAAAACGAAGTACAATTTGACAAGTAATGCTACTGTGGCCAAGTTTGCATTTGTAGTAGTTAAACTGTACTGCTTCATTAAATTGCTTCACCACATGACACACTTTGTATTAAGTCATTTGATTAAAAAAAAAAATTGTGCACCCTGTCTACAAACCAAATTTATCACTGAATAGCTTTCATTTTTCTTGCAGAGATATTTTTAGCCATACAACAATTCAGAAGATACAAAGAGAAACTCATGTTTAACTCAGGCTGAATAAAAAGGCTGTAAATTCTTTTGATAGATTGATAGTTATTGCTGTACTGCAATGCTTGTCTCAATAATTGCTAGGATTATGTATGGAAAATTATTTTTAAAAAGTTCTTGTAAAATAAACTCACATTTGAAATGCATAAAGTAATCAATGAACTAGTAGCAGAAAAATAATTTATTCTTTAGTTTAATGGGGACAGTTGATTAAATAATTCTCTTTGCAAAACTCTTTTGCAGTTCTATATCCCAAATAATAAAAGTAATACAAATTGCACAGCTAAGTTCATTGCAGATAATTTTAAATGCTAATCAGTCAGCTCTTTTTTTTTTTTTTTTTTTTTTTTTTTTTTTTTAGATTATGAAAGGCAGCAAATGGTAAATGCAGAATTAGTTTATAAAGTAAAGGAGTGGCTAACTATTATCTATAAAATGGCAGAGGACTTCTAGAGTAGTTAATTTCTTTGCAACAAAATCCTAGCAAGGGGAGGAAGATTAATAAATAAAGTCAGTGTCAGAGAAATGTATGAAAACAAGAAAAACAGCATATGTTGACATTGAAACTTCTAGCAAATTATGTCATGCCAAAGGAGGAACTGCATTTTTTTCTTTTGCCAGAAATCTACATCATATTTTTTTTAATGTAGAAAATCACCAGATAAATGTTTTTTCAACATTCTTTTTTAAAGAAAGATTTGCTTTATAACTGAATTTGAAAATTTTATAGTAGATACATTTTAAGATATCAGTATCAAATAGTAAAAAAAAATCAAGCTGTATTTGATAATTTACCAAAATATGAGTAATTATATTAAACATTTCTTATGTAATATGTCAATTTCAAAACTGAAGCATATTTTCTGAAAATCATTATATTTATTGTTGGTTAAAAGGGACCTTTATCAAGTAGGTGATTAGAGACAGCGTTTTTCTGCTCATAATGTTTCTAGCACTTGTATCATTTTAACATGTGTTGTGGCATAACTTTGTATTAGTGTAGTGCTAAGAATGAAGAACTCAATGCATCAGTAGTATCAATCTTAATCTTTCCATATACTATGTCACAGTCATCTTCATTAACATCTTTATCATTCAAATCACAACTAACTTTAAAGTAATTTGTATTATGAAACCATGAAAAGCAGAAATAAGAATAATGTGCAGCTGTAGGAAATCAGGAGAACAATGAAACAAAAAGGAAACTTATCTCTCAACTTTCCTGTTAAACTTATTTAAGTCGCAATACAGGAAATCGAAATCCCAGTTTTTTGTCTGGGATATATGTAGCATCTTCAGAATACTACCCAAGTGTTGCCGTTTGTAAATATCATTTGAAAACTTAACAAATTGTTTATTTGACAAGAGAAAACAGATTTAGTTATTTGTTAAAATTGTCTCTTTTTAATTGGCTTATTTGTTATTTTCCTTCTAATTTTCAGAAAGCTATGAAATTTTTTGCAATTGAACAGCAAGTTCAGTAAAAAAAAATTTTTTTTTTTCTTTTGCATTTTCAGTTGACAGCACAACATATTTAACCTCTTATTTTCCTTTTCTAATATTTTCACCCACTGAACTAATTCAGATGTGTCACCAGATGTATACTGAAGTGTATAGTCATGCTTACCATATTTTTTAGGATCCAACTGAGGACATATATTTGAAATTATTTAAAACTCTTAACAGATTACTGAAACATTAAACTTTATTTATTCAAAAGTATTCTTCACTAGACATGACTTTTTCCATAAATCATTTATTTATTTTAATTACATCATAAAATTCACGAAAAAATAGTTATGAATTAATTTTAACATTTAGCTGATGTTTAACTGTAGATAATGAACTGCTATCCCTTTCTGCAGGCCGGATGTTCCCCGTAATTAAAAAAAGAAAACTCAACTGAAGCAGATGTTCCAGGCAAAGACATTGCAAACTCAACCATTTTAAAATATTGCTATGTGAAATATGAGTCTGCACACAACATGAAATATGCACACAACAATATTGCATCTATCATTGTTTAACTTTTGGACTCTTTTTGAAGCTTTTAGACTCCTTTTGAATTTTCTTATGCCTTTTATTGTAAATATGCATTTATTGCTTTTATGATATATCCTTTAATGTTGAAATTTTTAATAACAAAAGAATGACATGACATAAACAAGTAGTATTTGCAGTAGACAATTCAGTACATGCCGTGTAATATGATCACATTTGTACCCAGCTATTTTGGAACATTAAATTATGAGAAAAATCTTCTTCAGAATAGCAGTGGAATTACACTAATTTAGTGTAACTAGAAACATATAAATAGGCATTTTAACTAAAAAATTGCTAAAGCTTTTTTATGCCTTTAATGTGAAAGTTTATGAGCTGTTATCAATACCTTTGGAAATTATTTGATTCTATACCCAGTATTTGATGTGCACCCCTTATTGGAAAAAGAATATGCCAGCATAAAATTTAAAATGAGGCAAGAAAGCAATTTGTTTGATAGGGATGTTTTCGAGGAGGGGAATTGCTCCTGAAAAAAAGGGACCTGTGGCTGACTGCCTTCAAAATTGATAGAGTAACTAAATTTATTGAATGAGAAATACATCTCTAATGAAATTCAAGGAAATAAATGTTTCATACTAACAGAAAATACTGTCACAAGTCTGTTTCGGACAGAGGAGAATGTTTACAAGTAACGCTTGCACATTAGGTAAGCAGCGCTGAATCATCTCTGAAAAGCTGTTTATTTTTTATTTGTTTAAGAACATATAGAAGAATTAGATAATTCTATAGATGATGTAATTTTTGTAAGTTATAAAATGAATAAGATGTAAAACTTTTGAATCTAGTGCCACAGTATTGCTATAGTAAATAAATATAGTGAATTTTATAAAGCGTGTTTATTCTGTTGTGGTTTAGGCACTATCGACAAAGTAGATTTAATTCAATTCAATAAGTTAAAAAAATCTATAATTTAGTATTCCGTACAAGGAAATCATGTGATCTATACATCAGATTTTTATTCTTATATGTTAGTTCTTAGACATTTTCTAAATTTCTTGAAGTTTATAGGCAATAATATTAGTAATCTTATGTTTATTTTGATATCAGAGAACAAAATAACATTTCTCATTTTATCAGAGATTATATGTGTGTAATCTGGTATAAAGTTTTGTTGTATTAGAAAAATTCTAACATTTATTTTTGGGTACTTTTGCTGCATAATTCCTATTAAAGTTAACATTTATTCCATTTTATGCTTATTAATTTGTCAAATACTTTAGGGGTCTGTGACTAATATTCTGGAAGAAAACGTTGTGCAGCCTCTTCTTGTCAGTGTTAGTGCTGTTACGTTAGCATCTGAAACAGTTCAAACTCTAATGAAAGTTGATGACATTGTGAGTATTAATGCTTACATATTTTTACTGACTTTTTGAAGTAAATAGGTGTTATATATATAAGTGTACAATAGTCAAAATATTCAGTTCCTGTCTGAAATAAAATTTAAGCACATGATTCTCTGCTTTACCAAAGATTTAAAACTGTTTTCACTGGAAAAGTTTGTAATTCATGAAATGATCAAATTTAGTGCTGTTTCTTTATGTATTTTGCAGTGCACAAAATTAAAAAAAAAAAAAAAAAAAAATATTGGCAAATGGTAAGGAAAAAAAAATATGCATTTAATCACTAATTCTAGTTTTCTTTTCTGTAATTTTTTTATGTGCTATCCTGATTTTAAAAAACATTGCTTGTTGCTTTTTTTATTGTAAATTATTTTTTGGTATTATATATCAGAAAGATTTTGCCAACACTGCACAACAGTGAAATGATAGATTTACAAAGTTTAAAAAGTTAGAGATATGATGAAGGCCCTGCAAATTGCATTATCATTTATTGCATTTCAACAAATTATATTTTTGGTTAAATAATAAACAAAATTAAAGCTCTTAAATACTTTTTTTTGCATTATTTATGTGTTTTTGTGTGATTGTTTTAAACAAAAAGGAGCTTTATATTAGTTAAAAGCTATGCAAGATGTTTCAAAAAGTTGATTAAATATCTTAGTTCACATCCATGGCTCCAACTTCAAATAATCTGTTTAGAAAGTTCTTCAGACTTTGGCAACTGAAGTTACATGATACTTTTTAATAAAAGTATATGTCCTTATGTAAATCTTACAGTAAAGAAATGTTTCTCTCAATTAAATTAATGAAGTAAAAGAAATCATCTTCAAACAATTCAAAATTACCCAAGATATATGTTGTTTATCATCCCTTTTGCATAAGCCAACTTATTGTTTCCAGTAGATGGCACTGTAGAAGAGACTCATTAATTATTCTGCTTATCTAATGCTGCCATCTTAAATTACTTAAAGATGGTGGCCACCTTATTAAGTCTAAGTTGGTAACTGGTGATGACACATACATGCCATTTTTTGGATTCCATGCCCACAGTGGTAAAAAGATGATGTATCATGAAAAAATTAACATGTTTTGTTTTCTTTAGAAGTACAGGTCTGTCAAGTTGGAAGGACAAAAGACAGTCACAGTTAACTGTGTGTGCCACTAAGTGTGTTCCAGAAATTCTCAGCATACTGCAGCAGTTTTTTTTTTTTTTTTTCCAGTAATTCTTCTCTTTCTTGAAAGTATTAAATTGAACTTTAGGCATGATTGCTGGACCAGGTTCCATGAAATCGACAAACAAGTTTCCTTTGGCATCACAAAAGACATTGGCCATAACCGTCCACTTTGGCTCTGTTTGATAGGCTTTCTTTACTCTTATTCTGTGTTGTACTGAGAAAGAAGGTCTTATGACAGTGCTCATTTGGTTGATTTTGTGGATTTATGTCAGGATTTTTGGGTCCCTTTGAGCGCAGAACTTCTAATAGCTTAAGTTTTGAAAAACTTGTTGTTGCTTATGCTGACTTGTCTGATGTAGTCAGCTCAACCCTACAAAATTCCTTGTGGCAAGGAGCGCTACAGTATGCCTGTCATTGGCAACAGTCATGAGCACCTTTCAGGTGACAATACGATTAGCTTAGTTCCACCCCCAATTTTGATGGAGAGCGTCCGGGGAGGACGTGTACGAGGGTCTCCCACCCCTTTCACCAAACCACATTAGAGGACTTTGTGCTCGCCGTATATTTAGAGTGCTGACATGCTGCACCAACACTGTACACTTTCAAACATCCATGCCTTCTCTGGAATTAGAACCCAGGCCTTTCGGCACGACAGTCAGTGACACTAACCACTATACCATTTGGATGGTTTTGAGAAACTTACTCATGTGAAACAGTGTGAAATATTTCAGAAGTGAGATCGGCTAGTCTCAAGAGCATTGGCATCAATGCCCTTGATAAGATCATGACTCACTACAGAAGGCCTACCATTCCAGGTTTCATTATGAATGTTTGCACTTCCTGCTTTAAAAAGTTTGATGCTCATTGTCTTCACTCATAACATTTAGGCTTAACATAGCACAAAATTAACATCTGCTGCTGAGTTCTCTTTCCTAAAGAAATCATATCCCTCTGCATGTCTCACACTTTCCAGGATTTTCAATGACAGGGCTTACTTTTGATGTAATAACTATGCAGCCACACTGCTGAAAGCATACTGAATAATAGATTGTGTGAATGCGACAAAGGTGGCACTCCAGTCACTACTACTTGTACCACACGGAAATGGTGATTACTTTCTGAATTACACTTGTATATGCTTTCCTAGTGTAGCAATAATTATGAAAATATTAGCTAAAGATTATTTGTTCACCCTTAAGGAGCATTATTTATTGTAGGAAATAAATTTTGTGTACATATTACAAAACTATGACACTGTAGGTAATAAGACTCATTTTCGGATGAACATGTGCTGTTGATGTGTTGTAGTTAAATATTTTGTCTTTGATCTTCAGTAAATGCTGATTTAAGTTTTCCCCTTTTTTTCTTCTCTAGGTAAATGTTGTGCGATAAAAAGAAAATTTAAGCTAAGCGACTAGTTAATTCTTCATCTGCAAACTCAGTCTTCTGATCACGTCCTTTAAATCTCTGGGACTCAATACTAAATCCTATTTTTATTCACCTGACATTGCTGATATCTTTTGTATTGTATCAAAGTTTGTTTTCATTGTTTTGAACAAAATAAAATCTTTTCTGTCAAACTTCGTGCATTATTATTTATATCATAATTGTTTGTTGATGTTAGTGCATAGATATTTTGCCTTAAGAATCAAATGCAAGTCTTCTTTCTCATCAAATAAGTACTGCTTGTTTTGAAACCATAGACAGCTCTGATTTCTGCTTATGTTTTATTATTATTATTACTTGGAAAACAATTACCATAAAATCTGTTACATCTTAATTTAATTCTTTATGCATTTTAGAATTTTTATTTTTTTCACCTAAACTTTTACTTTTTCTGTTAAATAGTTGTAATGATTATATGTAAATTTTATGTGTGTTCCATTTAACATACTGTAAGCGGCCGAGCGGTAAAGTCGCTGAACACTGGTAGTTCGGTCCGAGGTTCAAATCTCGCGAACGGGCTGTCTGCATGGGCGTTTTCGTGGTTTTCCCCATGTGTAACTTGTATACGAGCCAGTTTCCCCTAGAAAGTCCTCCACGAAGGCATCCCTCCTCTTAGGCAGATAGCCCCTCGAGACTTTGCCATAATCACACACACACATATTGTAAGCTTAAAATTAATAGTTTTACAGAATAAGATTAAAAAAGATTTTGTTCCTTATTCAAAATGAATTTCCTGTGAATTGTGTGTAACACTGGTTTTATTTAGAACTTCTTTATGGACTACAAAATTTGATTTAATAAAGCCTTATAGTTTTGAAATTATCTAATTTAACTCCTTCATGATGGTGCGTATCATATATTGAGGTTCCCACGCTACCTTGAAAACTTAAAGAAATGGGAAGAGTCAGGAAGTTCGAAGATTGACTAAAAAAGTCAGGAAATTTCATACTGCGATTTTTATGCCAACGTTTACAGTAATCACTTTCTTTCCGAACATCATGTGATATATCATGTGAGTGTCATGTTTCCGAATAGCATGTGATATACATATCATGTGAGTGTTATTCGGGCACCTGGCATAGAGCCAATTTTCCCAGCTCCAATCAGATTGTCTTTTATAAAGGCAAAGCAAGTTTCCAGCAACTTGGTTTCCGTTAACTTCGAGAAACGAGAGATGTGCATGTGCAGTGCACGTTGAACAAAAGAAAATACCTTCCCATTCTCATATAAAAACAAAATCTGTTTAATTTTCTAAAGCTGGTGGTACAACTGTTGTACCGCAAAATTTACTTGCTTTCAAGCGAGCTATGGTTCAACACCAAGCTTTCTCTTCCCCTTTTAAAGTAACTGCCTATCTTTAGATTCTCTGGGTAGTCCAGTTCCCTGTTCAGAGCAGCCGTTGGTTATGCATTGTTTCCCGTTTCTTATATGGTTGGCTACGTTTTGGCGAATACCGTATATTTCTTCTCATGCCAATGTACTTGAAAATAAAACAGATGCTATCTCTCTTTCAAACATTAGAGCTTTTTCTCGTGATTTCTGTTTAACTTTCACTCTTCAGTTCTTATAATGGCACCTTGTTTCAAAGGTCTCAATCACGACAAAATTAATAAGTTGCTAAGAGATTTAGAAGAGGACACTTTTGCTGATACAGATTTGGACTGTTCAGATACAGAAGAAATATGTTTTAATCAATCTTTAAATGAAGATAAATTGCCGATGACTTCAAAAGCGAGTTTCTGAGCAAGAAGTGCAACACAAGCATTTCGAAATTATTTCATTTTTTCTAGTGAAGAGCTCTTAAACAACTTTTCGCTTTTGGAGATATGAATTCTTTTATTAAATTGCTCTAAATTTGGTGACTTAGCAACATTTTGGCGATTTTAAGATAAATTTCTATAGAAAAGTTTTAATTCCAAGATCTGGAAATTTTTCGACGATTTTTTTAGAACATTGTAAAATTGATAAATTTCATTAAAATAATGGTAATATATTGTAATTACATTAAGAAATAACATTAGAATAAAACATTTTCATTTTTTGCTGTTGTATTATAAAGTTCCATTTTGGCCACTTATACAATATTTTGAATCTGAAAAATAAGCAAGGTCACTAGACACAAGCATAAAATATCAGAAATGCTTCTTATCTTATCATATAGATAGGCATTATAAAAAAGAATTTTTTTATTAATAAAGAAATTGAAAACTGACAATTTAAACTATTCCTCTAACATGTCTTAATGCATTATACACAGGGATGGCACTAGACATTTCCTCACCTGATACAATCTCTATGGATCCTAAAATCTGCTGCCTGGTGCCTTTCTAAATTCTGCTTCCAATGCCTGTTCTAAATTATAAAATTTTTACATTTCTAGATTTTTGTTGCTCGATGTGTTATTAAATTCTAAAAATTCTGTCACAATAGCTTTGTAACCGGACCTTACCATATATATTTCATATTTCTTCTGAATAATCACATTACTAAAGAAATAAAATTAGCAGCTTACTCTATACATTCTAAATGCATTTAGTGTTTTTAGAATAACAGAAATCTTTAATTAAATCCAAAAATTCTAAAATGGAAAGGAAACGTGGAAGAAAGAACCTGAATACATTAAGAGAAAGGGAAGTTATTCTTCAAAGTTATGTACAGATATTATTAAGTAAATTACCCAGTTGTTAACAATTTCAACCTTTATTATAATTTTACATTTCTATTTTCTCACCAGAATGCAAATCACTTAGTTTTTAAACTGAGGTTTTTGGAGTTTTAAACTGAGGTTTGGTTTTTTGGTTTAAGACGAGAGTGTATTTCTGACCTCCACTTGCTCCCTGCATTAGTTCCTGCCACCTCTGATAATTTGTAATTATTCGTCTTTACATTACCATTGCCGACATTTGAATTTGTTATGACGATAAAGTTCTTGATATGTTAGCTTATTAGTTATGACGATAAAACTTGAAATGTTACAGCTTAAAATGAAATGAAATTGTTATAGTCTTTGACTAGTCCATATTTTCAGTTTGAATTTGATTATTCTTGTTTAATTGCATCATCACGAGCTGTAATTGATTTATTTAGCATTATAACATGCCCTTATGTTCTGAGTTCTTTTTACATAAGAAGCTTATTTAAATCTTTGTAGCTACTTTCAGACATAGCGATAATTTGCTTCACATCTGTCCAGAGGGTTTTGGACTATTTAACTTTTACCAGATCAAGTAAACCCTCATAGATACATTTTGGAGAGGTTGACAGGTTAGAAGATACAAAATGTAGAAACTAGTGAGAACACTGTCTTGCGTATTGAGACAAAGTTCTAACTGTTAGAAAAGATGCTTAAAGAGAAGGAAATTGATATAAATTAGCCAAAATGTCTGCGAAGGCTTCAAATTAAAAAGACGCATAAATATTTTATTGAGTGTTGCTAAAAAAACATAAATATTTTGTAGCTTTTAATGTATAATTATTCTAATATCGTTTAAGATTCAATGCCATAAATTACATGTATTTAAAACTGTGAAATTTTATTCAATTGTGATTTAATAGGGCTTTTTTTAAAAAAATATTGTTAAAAAATAAATAAAATTTTATAGTGCCCATGTAAATCTGTAATGACTGAGCTTATCTAATACGTAATTTAATTACTTATAACCAGGGCTGTGGAGTCGGTAGAGAAAATGACCAACTCCGACTCTGACTCAGACTCCCGGAATTTTAATAAGTCCGGCTCCTTCATATATATGTGAACATAAACACATGGTTACAGTTTTTATTATAAAAGAAGTAATAGATGCTACAGAAAAAAAAAATTGATTCATAGCAAATTTTTTATATTAATTAGCATTTATTATGAAATGAAAAAACTGGCATTAGCAATTTCTAAGAAACAGTAAAACTTAAACTATATTAACTGAGTTACAACCCCTGAACTCTACAAGAAACTATGACACTAACTGCATCAGATAGATCCCAGCTAACTTTCAAAACTTGCAAACCGGGCTTATATTAAGTCTTTTAGGTTTTTTCTGATCAGCAGGTCTCTCTTTAGGCAAGCAGGAGCAGTGACAACAGCCAGTCTTTTGTTTTGAATTATGCTGATTGTGATTTTACTTCTCACTTTATGCTGCTTGACATAAAATCTACTTACTAAACCCCTAGAGTGAGCAAGTATGTGACAAAATGAGACATTAACAAAAATCAATGTAAAGCTATGTGACAACTGCTAGAAAACCTAAATAAAATGTCACTTTTCTTTTTTCAAATATATCCAATTATTATGAGTGTAAAATATTTAATGCTACTTGATAAATTTCACAAAATTTATTTTATTCTCAAACTTATTAATAATTATGTTTAATAATAATGCATGTGACTTATTTAATTATGTTTAATAATAATGCATCCGACTTATGGATCTGTTTTATTTTTAGAATGGTATTACAAAAGTGAAGTTCAACATAGATAATATTTTTAATTGAATTTATTCACTTCCCAATTGCTTATAGGTCCTTAATTTTTTCATTAATGGTCCTTAAAAGTACTTAATTTCCGCGTTCAGAAATGTGTACGAACCCTGCAAAATTATTGTCAAATTTAAAGGGCGAGTAATATTTAGACAGAGTATCCCAAAGAAATGCCCGCAGTGGGGTAGAAAATCATACAAGATCACTGATAAGGAAGGTTACACCTACAATATGGAAGTTTACCTTGAGAAAGATAAATCTAAGGATCCCAATTTCTCAGTGTCTTATAATGTAGTTTGGCACTATCGGAGACAAAGGCCATAAATTATTTATAGACAATTTCTTTTCCTCCCCAGAACTTTTCGTTAGTTTATTAAATGAAAATAAAATAAATTCATGTGGAACTATTCGTCCTAATAGGAAGCATTTCCCAAAAGATGTAAATAAAGGAAAATTGAATAGAAGAAAAACCACTGTGCATTTCACAAATGGGATGACAACTCTACATTGGAAAGACGTTTTCATGCTGTCAAATATGCCCAATTTAATGGTTATAGCCGATGAGCAGACAAAACCCAAGTTCATAACATGTTACAAAATATTGGCTATGTTGATTTAAGTGATCGCTTGGCCAATAGTTATACTTTTTTTGGCAGAAGAAC